CATATTCGACAGTGATTAATCAATTCTTACAACTACAACTATTTACAACTACACTTACGCAATTGTAGAATGGACTTAATAGCCCTTCTACAATAAGCCGCAAATCAGAAGTTCTAAACGATCCTAAGTCATAATCGGTGAAGTTGGCCAATAGCCAACTTGAACGACTTGGTTAAGGGGATGCTGGAGTGTCCTGTTTTACCATCAATTTTTAAAGACTCTTTTCTCTTAATTGTGTTTATGGATTGAAAAGTCCTTCTCCACAATCAAATAGCGTTTTCGGCCCGATCGGGTTTGCACCAACCTGGGTTGGATTAATCTTTCCTATTGGTTGACGTCACCCGCTCTACCAATAGGAGAGCACAAAACGCCATTAATCCAACCCAAGTTGGTGCAAACCTGGCCGGGCCGAAAACGCTAAAAGTATCGACAACAATACAGGCTGCCAGCTACAATGTAATGCGAAAAATGAAAGAAAATTAAAAATTGTAGTTTTGTCACCGGCTCCTGCAGTCAACTCGTCACAATATGTGCTGCATATAAGAGTTTCAGACTTTACCCGTTTAAAATAAGTAGCCAGCAGCCTACAGAAAACCTTGAAGAACAATCCTATTCAGTGGCGTAACTAACGACCCCGCAGACCCTGCGGTGCGGGGGGGCGCACCAAAGGCGGGGGCGCCGGGCGCTAGTAAAAAAGTAAAATATGTATAGTCATTAAAAAAGGTCAAGTAAAATAGTAGTTTCAATCTCAAAGTATCATCGTCAAATTGACGATTTAACGCCCCGTAAGCCGAGTGGCGAAATGCCATTTCGGAAATGGCCATTGTTACCCTCGGTTAAATAAAAAAATTTTGTTTTCATCACAGGCGTTGAAATTTTACCTTTATTTTATGGGGCGACCTTCGTGCTAAAATTTCATTTAACGCCCTGAAAACTATACAATCACGAATTTAGTAAATGAACATAGTCAGCGCCATTGTAAAGAATATTCTTGATCACTTACAGGAAAAATGTTTTTTTTTTAATTTTTTTTTTAAATAAAAATAGTTTTTAAACAAATCAAGTTGTGAGCAAAATCTTCGTGGTTTTCTTGTCGTTTACAAAAACTATATAAAATGAAGAGTATGATCGCATCTAGGTATCATAGTATTAACAAATAATTTTAATTTGTAAGAATCTGTGATTGATTTTGTTTGAACTAGTTACCTACATGAAAATTCATGCATGTATATGATGGGCAGTCTGCCCAGGGTAGATATTTATTTTGATGCGTTACCGTATCGAAACATTTGCCGCGCGGTAAGTGAAAAATCGTGTCGTGACGCGACGCTGCATAATACACGTGGAACCTTTTCAAGGTTCAAATGCAAAAAATTAAGGCGGAAGAAAAGGGGGCGCCTAAATAAATTTGCGGGGGGGCGCACATAGGCTTAGTTACGCCACTGATCCTATTCTTTTAGAAACGATGTAGGGGCTTTGGTATAAGAGAAAAGAGTCGCCAAAAATTTCGTTCGTATACTACGAATAAAATTGACGTGAAGCCACGAAACC